AAAAGTGTAGGGGTAGTTGATAAAGATAAATGGTAGTAGTATCATTGACTTTTAAAATTGAAAATCTATTAGAAAATAACACTAACTTAGTAGCATAAAGTGAAACACATTGAATAGGGTCATTTGATTAGTTTACGATGTGAAAATATGAAAAGTATTATTTGCTTACTTATTTATTTATGCTCGTTACCCCTCGTGGAGGATAGACTGATGACTAGTAATCACCAATCAATTTTGTCCTGGGCCATCGAGTTGTTCTCGATTGCGACTCATTTTTTTTGATATATGTCTCCTGTTCTCAATGCAATATGTTCTTAGGTCTAACTCCTTTGCTTAGGCCTTAAAGATTCTAAGTTAGGGCTTGCTTCGTGAAGCATTTGGGTGATTCCCACAATGTGACCTATCCACCCAGAGCATCTTTTTTGTAATTTCTTCCTCGGTCGGTATATGGTTTGTACTCTCCCACAGTAAGTTTTTACTAATGGTGTCCGGCTAGAGGATCCTTAGTATCTTGTGTAGACAACTATTAATGAACATCTGTAACTTGTGAATGACGGCTTTCGTGGTTCTCCTGGTTTCCGCTCCATACAGTAGAACGGTATAAACGTTCGTACTAAACATTGTAACTTTGGTGTTACTTGATAGTTGTTTTGAGTTCCAGATGTTCAAATGTGGAAATTCTGTCTTTGCTTCTTCAATCCATGTCTTCATATCGTCATCAAAACTTCCTTACAATGTATAAGTATTTGAAAGTTTCTACATCCTCCAATGCTTCGCTGTTAGGTGTGATTTGGTTGGTGCATTTTGTGTTGTATTGAAGGATCATTCTTTCCCCCTGGAGTGTGTTGAAATCTACTGCTGCCGATGCTTCTGCCACTGTGGTCTTCTCCTGCATTTGTTGTTTTGAGTGTAATAGAAGAGCTAGATCATCTGCAAAGTCTAGATCGACCAGCTGCATCCGAGCTGTTCACTATATTCCATGATTCCTCCCAGATGTTGACGTCTTCTTCATCCAGTCGGCCACTCGGAGAAAGAGAAAGGGTGAGAGTATGCAACCTTATCTGACACTGGCGTTCACTTGGATTGAGTCTTTGAGCTAAACCCTATGCACAATTTCGCAAATTAGTCCATTATAAGGATTCTGTGTGATGTTGACTATATTCTCAGGTACACCATAGTGTCGAGGAATCCTCCATAGTGTCAATCTGTTCGCGCTGTTGAATGCCTTCTAGGAGTCTTGGTAGTTGATGGAGAGTGATGAGTTCCATTCGACTGATTGTTGCATAATGACTTCTAATGTCGTGATTTGGTCGATACATGACTAATCCTTCCAGAAGCCAGCCTGCTTATGTCGAATTCGGTTGTCGACTGAATATTTCATTCTGTTCGAAAGCACTCTGTGGTAGACCTTTACTGGTAGTTATCACACATGTTGAGATCGTCTTTTCTGGATATCTTGATTAGGAGTCCTTTTTTCCAATCTGTTAGTGCTTCTTCTCCCTCCTAAATCTTACTGAACTGAGCCTTTACAGTCACAGCTTTCAGTGCCCGAGGTGCAATGTTTTCTGGTCCGGTTGCCTTGGCGCCCTTCATTTTTCTGATGGGCCAACATCATCTGAAAGGTCCGTAAGTGCCGCCTTGATGTTAGGTGAATTTAATGGGGTTGGTCTATTCAGGAGTTCTTCAAAGTGCTCTATCCACCTGTTTCACTGTTCATCAGTGTCAGTGATTGGTTTGTCTTCCTTGTTTTTCACTGGTCGTTCTGTTTACGATATTATCCGTCAAGCTTCTTCTTTGTATCATATAGTTGTCTCATATTTCCTTCTCATGTGGCCTTTTATGCTATCATTACTAGATCCTCCACATATTCACTTTAGTCAGCTCTGATGCTCCTCTTCACTTTCTTGTTTGCTTCTCTGTATCCAGGTTGTGCCGTTACTTTCTTTGCTATTGTTCGGCTGCCTTCCAGTTCCTCCTTTCTTGAATCTTATCTAGAGCATCCATATGAATCCATTACATGTGATGGTGCTTCTCGTGGCTCAGAACCTCATGACACGTTGAAGTTATTGCTTCTTTGATCTCTTTCCAGTTGTTTGTTCTTCATGTTAGTTTCTTCTTTGTTGAGTAAACCGTGAAAGGCTTGGAACTTGTTGTTGAGTGATATCTTGAATTCATGAGTTTTCCAGTATTCCATAGAAAAGCCGTAATAAACCTTAGCAATGATGTTTAACTCGTTGTGCAGTGCTTCTTTAATTTCTGTTTCTGGCCACCATCGAGTGATTATCGGAAACTATGTCAGCCCTTCTCTTGGTTCTCACATTACCTACGGTCCTCAACTTTTTATTGATACAGATGTGGTCAATTTGGTTCCGGTGAAACCTATGTCGCTTTGTGTATGCATTTGTTTAGGAATATGGTGCAACCTATAACCATTTTGTTGAAAGCACATATATACACTAATTTTATCGTTTTCGTTGCTTTCTTGCAGTCGATGTCGTTCTATGAAGACTTCGTATCTGGTGTTGTCCATTCCAATTTTGGCGTTTAGGTCTCCGATCAGAACGGCCAACTCGTTTGTCAGGCATTTCTGGACTATTAACTGCAGCCTTTCATATAATTGATCTTTAACTTTGTCATTTCTATCGTTGGTAGACATTTGGTACTGTATGACGTACACTACAATCCCTTCTTTCTTTGTTTTGAGAGAGACTTTAATGTTTCCGGGTCTATGATATTCCCATCTTATCAGTGCTTTTTGTGCTTCTCTGGATAGCATCAGTTGAACTCTTTGTGTTTGGGAGGTATTTTATTCTTCATGACCGGAGTATAACGACATCTCACCGGAAGCTAGTCTTCTTGTCTAGCCTGAGTTCATTTGATTTCACTTAATCCAGATACCTTTAGGTTATATCTTTTCATTTTCCCAGTAACTTGAATGATTATTCCAGTCCACTAAATTGTGAGAACATTTCATGTACCTATCCAAATTAATTGTCTCTCTGGTTGTCAGAAGAGGCATCAGCCCCATAACTTCTGAGGTTCCATAACACTTCTCAGTAAAATCTTTCCTACTCCTAGAGCAGAGGTGCGTACTTCGTTTAGTCGTATTTTGGCTTTAAGAATTCTAAGTCCTTCTAGAAAACGTCTTCGTACCACTTAGCTGCTTTCAGTTAGATTCAGTTATATCACAAATTATTTGGTTTACACTGTAAATGTTTTATATTAAGTGTTTATTTAAGTAATTTTTAGAGATTTGATTTTAATTGTACAGCTTTTATTAAAATAATATGTATTAAACACTTGTTCTATTCTTATTTAAGATATTTGAAGTGCTTATTGATAACTATACAAAGATTGAACTCAAAATGTTCATATGTTAGTGTGACTGTGATAACCTTGAGACTGTTGAGTAGGTTTACGATTTTAGTCAACCTGTAGGGTAATTATAAAAGAAATAAAAATTATTTAACTATAGACATCATTGACTTTCGATCAATGTTAGACCACCATTAGAAACCTGGAAGCACTGGACGGCCGTTTCGACCTGGTATGGAACTCATCAGCAGTAAGTATTCACAACTCCTGCACTTCGCAGGATTCGAAACCAGGACCTTCGGTTTCGGACGCAAACGCCCCTAACTTAAGGACCAGTGAGCCAGTATCTAACGGTGTTAATGTCTAACTCTTATAAATTCACCGTCTTTCGAAACCTTATATACTATCTTCGGTGAGCACTGCTTCACTCCCGAACATGGTTGAACTACACTGGTCACGACTTCTCACTAGAACTCAGAGAAGATTCCTCATAGAGCTAATCACTAGTAACCCAGGCAATTTGCATTATGTGGTTGTGGCATGTCATCGGTAACAAATTTCTACTATGTTGTTGGAAGACAATGAATCGATAACGACAGACCATGTTCAATTTTAAATAAAATCTAACTCATCATTGTAGTTTAAAAAATCACTGGACAAATTTAATTTCATTTGTAACATACTGAATCTAACAGCTAACAGATACTCAGTATATCAGAGCGATTTGGCGTGCAACAGCATAGATTCCAAAATATCAACCACTGAATACTAACACATAGTCACAGTAGCATAATATTCATTAAAGATGAAAGAACATAGTTTTCTCTCGTGTTTTATCATGAATACGGATTATTGAAGAGTTTTGATCGCTTCAATGTTATCTCTAGGTTTTGAACATTTCCTTTCTCATTTGATAAAAGTTTATGATGAGAAGTAACCGTTGAATTGTAAAATACTCTGAATACGAGACACTTAAGTAAATCATCATATCTAAACTGATTAATCACTGAGTAAAAATCAATGTAATGTTTATATAGCCCTTATGATTATTAGTAGTATAACTAATAATCTAAACTATTCATCAATTTTACATAATAGTTGTAGAATTTCAATCTTATGAAATCATAAATTATGTTCATACACCAACTTATTGATGAGTAAGCAGTAGGTGCTCCTTAGTTTAATTTTTCTAAATTTAACTAATACTCATTATACATGTAACCTACAAAAAATCAGTATAATAAAAAATGTTTTTAACTTATATTTAGCATCAAATCGATCTGCTTTACTTTGAATCAAGTTATATCATCATACTGTTGAGATATTATCCATAAGTTTGAAAGCGTTTCGTTCAGTCATAATGGAAACTAATCATTGTATCTCATCATCTGTACATAAGTTCATTTGTAACTTAAATAGTACTTCTATGATAGTAAGGGACATAGGTTTGAATTGGCCAAACAGTATTACTTCTCTTAAGACTTAGAATGCACCTTACTGATGAGTTAGTTCCTTCTGGCATAAAATCTAGGTTCACAGTTCCGCTACCAACTTCTTTCAATCAATGATAACTTAAATCACAATCTTAATATCTGTCAATACAAGTAACTTAGTATCTTGATCTATGTATATGATTTTAAATTTTCTTATTTATTTTATGTGAATAGGTAGAAGAGAAATGCAATATGCCTGATCCTGCATATTACGATGGTGGTCTATTCAAATTTATTCCATTTGATAATAAATCATGGATAATTGAATTAATAAAACAAAGTGTTGTAAAACAAGAAATTCAACTCATCATTGGTGTATACATTATAAGCTGTGTACTAAGTTTAGCTACACTTATAAAAATAATATTCATCTATGATGATAATAACAAGAATATCAAATATAAACAATCAGAGGATAAAAAATATTGTAATAAAGTAAAGTTAACTTCATTTTCAAGTAATACAACTTATAAATATCTTCACAATTTACATTTCGATAATAAATCAATCTTTAGTGATCAGTTTATTAAACAAGATAACAACAATAAACATTACATTCAAATAAATCATGATGAAATACAAATAAGTAAAGGTTTACCAATTGAAGGAGCATTGAACATTGAACATTTCAATAAACAATTTGTTCAATATTTAAAATTCATCGATACAATTCAATGTGATGATGAAAAAGAAAATTTAAGAAATAATCAAATGAATGAATGGTATACAATGGATGATTTATTTAAATTACGTAGAAAATCATTATGCCGCTTATCAATATGTTCAACAATTGTTATAATATGTTTTCTAGTCTTTATTTGTAGTTATATTATATCTATTCAACATAGACAATATTTAATGCAGCAAATTAATCATTTACCTATAAAATTTAAACAAATCACATTACAAACAGGACAATTTAGTCAATATTCAATAGATATAGCTTATAATTTGACTAAAATTCATATTTATAATGATGAATTAAATCGTTCGCCATCTAAAAGTTTATTAAATCAATTTATTGGTAGTGTAAAACAATTTATTGCAAAAGTTATTACTTGTTTATCTACTAATTTATGTAGTACAAATAATAAATCTACAATGAATTTAAATTTCTTAACAATACTAATGTTAAAACAAGATAATATTTCTTTAAAACAATTATTAGAAAATATTAGTATAGAATCAAAAATTATTTTGGATAATTTTGATTTAGTTCTACATCATTATGTAAATTTAAACAATGTTGCTAGATTATTGAATCCGGAAAAAATTAAAACAATTGAACATTCATGGTATGCATATCGACAAAGTTTATCATCATTTACTGATATAAATCAATATTTAATTAAAGAGAATATATCATCTATGTTAGTTTATCCATGGTATACATCACCTATTATACAACAGACAAAACAAATTCTTTGTGATCGTTTAAAATATTCTTCTTCTCAACTTATAGATTTTACTTCATGTAAACAAGTAGATCAATTTTTATCAAATCTTATACAATATTCTACTCATCTTCCATTAACTTTACCAATGAGAAGTTTAACATCTGCTTTAATGTACGATTTAATACCACAAGCATTGAATATTGAACAATTAGTACACGAATGGTTACCGGTTATTGATAACATTTCAAATAATTGTATAAATTTCTTGTTTGAAACATATTTGAAACCACAATTGAACAAAACTAAATATGAAATGACTACATTTATTCAACAATTTCCTTCTGTTGAATTTATTGAACAAATGAACAAAATTACCAGCTATATAAATATCACATTATTATTCTACTATATACTACTTATTTTCTTTAGTATAATACTCATCGGAATTTACATACATCTATTTATTTCTGGTTATCAATACATGCTTGGTCAAAATCCTCAGTATAAAACTTGTTTAAATAATAAAAGTCAATTTAGCATGCATAAACACAGATCCGTCGGTGTACGTTTTACTTTAGGCGCAATTTCTATCATTTGCTTCTTGCTGACAGTGATTAGTTTAACATGTGTATACATTTCAGTAATAGGTATAAATGAAGGTTGTATGTATTTACAATCTAATAATATTAATAATTTAGCTCAAACTAAAGCTGATCAATTAATTACTGAATATTTAAAAAATTTTATTTATAATATTAAAGAAGCCAAACGATTTCTATCAATTCCAAATTTAAATTTACAAATACCAAAGAATATATTAAAAACAATTAATTCAAAGTATATACCAGAAAGAAATTTACCACTATTGAAAAGTTTACAAATCAATCGTCCATTTAATTTTACTAATGTATTATATTCTAATTATATTCATTTATTATTAAATAATCTATGGTATAAAGAAATTATTAGTAAAATAAAAAATTATAATTTCAAATTAAATATCCCTCCAATTGATTTTAAAGCATTATATAAACAAACTAAAACAACTTTAAATTTAACACGTTCATTTGATAATTTATTTGTTGGCACAGTGAATAATTATCTTATTGATCCGGAGGAAATCAATTATTTCAATATAATTTTACGTAATTTAAAAAGTATTCCCCATAATGAAGAACATCAACATCAATATTTGATATATTTATATGAAAATATAAATAATTTATTTCAAGAATATCATATAAATTATTTACTTGTTACAAGAACAATTAAAAATTATTGAAAAGAATAAAATTATACTGAAACCATTTGATCAACTTGTTAATATTGGATTAAATATATTAGATCGAATAAAATCAATGTCCAATCTAGAAATTGTACATTTAATCAATCAGTTGTTCTCAATTAGTTGGTATCAATTAAAACCTAATATTAGACAATATCTAATACCATTTGTATATAATTTATTAGATGATATGATACCATTTAATGGTTTACATGAAATATATACAGAAACAATCACTACAATTTGTCCATTAACTAACGCCAATAGTCATCAACACTTGTCCGAGTCAAATATTATTATAAAGTCAATATTATATGAATTAAAATGGATGAGTGTAACTATTACAGTAGGATGTATTTGTCTGTTATTATTATCATTAATTAGTTCATTTCTATTGTAAAATTCAATGTCTTTCATTGATTATACCAAATGAATAATATCTGTGATTTTTATTTATTTTGTATAATATAATAGAGACAATGAATGGTTGTTGCATTTAAAAAAAAAAACTGTGTTTTGGATTATTGATTGATTGACTGATTTTTCTTATGACTTTTTTTTTTTGGCTCTGATCATACATGTTATTTATTAGTTTGAATAATATCTTGTTTATGAATTCTTTTAGAATAGAAATAAAATAAATTCATGAAATGATTTGAAAGTTTTTTTTTATTGTTAATCAACTGAAATTAGGATGTGTTTTATGATGACGAATGAGAAAGTGTTATATATTAAGTTGTTATATACTTAAATGCTTACCTAATCTGTTATATGAATAACTAATAAACTGAATAGTATATACAATTTATGGGTGTGGATAATAGACATGTAACCTTCTCATCAAGATAAAGATTTGTAAGTTAAGATCTTAACTAAGTTCAGTGTTGGCTTCATCCAATCGCTTGTCATTGATTTCAAATATTTCGACATGTGGAAAATGGCCATTAGGAGTAGTTTAAATCTGTTAAACCGATAGCAATGGAAAGGTTAGGATGGTAAATGTTCGTACGCCCAACGGATTAGTTAGGAGGGATATATGTAAGGTATGTCTCCTTGAAGGTTCGAAATAGTTCTTTGTTTTATTCATGTAGGAAGTCGGGTAGGCGTACTGTTGTAAGTCCTACTTGTTCTTCTAGTGTGGATTATGCTATAGAATGAACCATGACCAAAGGCATCGAAGTGGCTTTGCTTTGTATGGAGGGCTTTTACGGACCGGTGTAAGATCTATTTTTTGAAGGCTTTGTATGTGGAAATCCCTCCATGTATACATTTGTAATTTGTCCTTATTGGTTCCTTCAGTTGTACATTTTATTAGTCTGTCCCATTCCATTTGAGATGATAATATATGTATTTTATTATAGTTTCTCTTGCTTTTGCCTTCACTGAGTTTATATGTTTCTTTCTGAATTGTATTTATGTTGTTTAAGCTGACACCTAGTCATGACGACAGCCATATTGATATTTTCCTGTTTTGATTGTGTTGCTTGCATTGACTGTAATCATACATTTCGATTGTGAATTGAAGCACTCTTCCAGAATAGGAAACACTCTGTTTTATAAAGCAACCAAATATTATCTTTCGAACGAATCTGATCTATCCAGGAGGGATAGAATATCAGTTATTTGAATAATTGAACAATTGTTGGTGGAATAACTGAGTGGTAATATTTGTTTAGGTAATAATGTAAATTTATATTTATGATGAATATTAGAACCATCATTTACCCAATCACCTTGTTTTGGTTTCAACTGGGCAATGGCGCGTGTCCAAACTACCTAAACAGTTTTTCTTCAGTCCAAACCTGAGTTTGGATCCAACATGTATGATTGTGTGAAACGACGGTAAATATTACGAGTTTCATGTGACCATAGGGGAATTGTGAAGTGTTCATGAATGAATTATCTCTTCAGTGTTTCATGGTTTTCACTCGTTTGTGTACTATTATATTCAGCCTACATATAGCTCTTAGACAAACTAATCAATATTTTCTGCCCGACTAACTATTTTTTGTACATCTTTTGACCGTGTCAATCATTCGTTGAAATCTTGATTGTTTTGTTTGCTTCGCTTATCATATGTTCATCCTATTTTTGTCTGATTATGAATATGTAATCATGCCTTATCATATTGAGTTGGCTCACTCGCCTTCTTCAGTTCGTTTTACTTGTACACTTTTTATTCTCATATATGTCTGCATGAATGATTGCTTGAAATAAATTCATCTGAATAAATCGGTGATTGGCTTCCTGTTACCGCCATCAAACAAACGGGGTTCGCTTAATTATTATATACGGAAATCGAAGGGAAGATTTATTTCATAGCATATCTAGTAGTTGTTCGTCCAAATTGTGGTCAGATCGCGGGTCACTAAAATGGTGGGCTGTACTTTGAATTTAACGCAACCAGTAAAATAGAAATACCAAACATCTTCGTATTAATGAAATCTTAATTATCAAATAAAGAAACTCTCTCCTGATTTTTAAAATACACATCATACTGTCTAATTTATATTAGGACTACAGTTCAACAGCATGACTGATCAATTTATATTTCTCGATTTGGACACGGTTATTTTTGGTGAACTTTTAGTATTTTGGGGCACAGTTTGCGTTTTTACACATTTGAAATCATCAACCAATCATTGTTAGACCACCATTAGAAACCTGGAAGCACTGGACGGTCTTTCCGTCCTGGTATGGGACTCATCAGCAGTGCGCATGAATGAATTAATAACTTCTTTTTTGGTTCAGCGTAAAAAGTTTCTTTTTTTCTGGGACTTTCCGTCACATTTGAACTTGATTTCCATTCTATACAAAACAAAACGGCTTTTAAACTATGCACTAATTATCTATTGCATTACTAATCAGCAAGGTGTATCTGATGCAGATGTGAAGGCTCAGACTAGCAAAACAAGGGCAGCATTTCTACAATTGAATAATATCTGAAACTCGAAACAACTGCCAACTCACTTAAGATTCAGAATTTTCAATACAAATATGAAGACAGTTCTACTGTATGGGGGGGGGAACTTGGAGAACTACGAAAACCATCATCAGGAAGATACAAGTATTTACTAACATTTGTCTACGCAAGATACTTTTGATCCGCTGGTCTGACAACATTAGCAACAACCTACTGTGAGTGAGCAAGGCAGATCCCGGCAGAAGAATAAATTATTAGAAATCGCCGGAGGTTGATAGGACACATTCAAGAAAGCACCGACCTGAGTCACAAGATAAGCCTTTACTCGGAATCCTCAAGGTCAAAGGAAAAGACGAAGGCCAAGGAACACATTATGCCGAGAAATGGAGACAGACATAAGAAGAATGAGCAGCAATTGAATAGAACTGGAGAGGAAGGCTCCCTAGGGCAGATTAGGTTGGAGAATACTGGTCGACAGCCTAAATAAACAAGTAATTATTTATCAGTTATGTCATAGAGATTCTTGATAGTAAACTATAGTAGCATTTTTTTTAGATAAGAAAATAATTCTGATCAGTTTAAATTTTCAATTCAAATTTACATTAGTCTTTTTTATTATTTATAAGAGGAATATTTTGTTTTCGAACATAATCAGTTAGAATTGTTTTAACTGATCAATATTTTTTTATTTCATTAAATGTGAACTTTTATAATTAAACTAATCATTACAATTTATTATTTAATTAATAATGAATGATTTTGTCTGTAGTGCCTCCACATATATTCCAGTTCGCTTACATCTAACTTGGTTAAGCCCTTTCGATTAATTTATTTAACCAAGCCATTTTGTATAGCAACAACTCATATGTACCATTGGTATTTTTTATTATCTGGTTTGTATGAGCTTGTACGACTGAGCATTGCTTACGCTTACGCGCTTACTCATCCTTTTCGCTTTAATGTTAATCTCTTAATTTCCCCATGAACTCACATGATTTGTATTGGCTTGCTTTTGACCTTGTCAATCATTCGTCGCTTTTATTTATGTGTGTGCATACCTATTTCGCTTGTCATATGTCTGTCTTATTTTTATCTGACTATAAATTCTTATTACAGGTGTTGTGAAGATTGGTAAGTTACACTGTTAGATACCGGCTCAGTGGTCTAAAGGCTAGGGCGTTCGCGCACAATATTGAAGGTCCTGGGTTCGAATCCCGCGGGATGCAGGAGTCGTGGATGCGCACTGCTGAGGAGTCCCACACCACATATATATATATAATATAAACCTTTAAGGTTTATTATTGAACACTGTTGAATTGACATTTGAAATTCGCTTGTTTTGGTTTGATGTTGATGATTGTACTTTTCTTGTTTACACTGTAGTAAGATGGTGTATTTTGTTAGACATTGTTGTTATTCTGCACTGTCAATGGGTATTTTGTTGTTGCTGTTGTTAAAACTTGATGGAATATATTTGATTTAATAGTTTACTTTCAATAAACATATTCTTTATTCATTATTTCACAGGTTATTTACAAAATCTACATGCTTGTTAAATACACTTGATAACATCAAATCAACAATATAGTCATATTGATCAATCAACAATCATTGATTGATTACCGTTCTAAATATCATCATCAACAAAGGAAGGATTTAATTCTTTTAACTATAACCTTCTTAAGCATCGATTTTTTGTACGACATATTCTTTTCACAAAAGAATTTTCTAGATTTGTGAAGTATACTTGTCTTACAAACTGATCTTAGCTAAGTTGGCCAGTTCGTTTTACTATGGAACTCATAAAAAAAATGCTCATCCATGATCCCGCAAGTGGAAATCAAACCCAGAATCCTCAGTTTCGCTCGCAAACGCTTAAGTTCTAGTGTTTAAACTTAATCAATCCATGTTCATCTACAACCTTCATCCACATTGCCTGTGACGGATAACAAACAGTCTCTCCTACCTGACACACATCGAACTTCACTGGTCAAGGCTTTTGATTATATTTTTGTGTTCGGGATGTTAGATCCCCAGAACTCACTTGATAAATGTCTTTATTTTGGATTTGATTTATGGGCTGGTCAACTGGCCTTGAGATCACATTTCTCACCAGGAAAAGCCTTAGTTGTGATTGGTTACTGTGTTATTTTAGTGTGCTATATTTTTGTGACTCTTCCAAGGACATCCCTATGGTGTATAAATAAACACGTTTTGTATGCTTGAGTTCATTGTAATTGCTGGTTGTTTGTAGAATATATCAAGACTTCTCGTTAGTTCCTTCGAGTCAACGGGTCAGAGTAGCCTATCTGGACGCTGGTTCATTGTCTCGTTCTCGTTTTATCCCCTAAAGTGAACCCATAATATTTTCAAGCATACCTAGCAACGAGCAATGCGCATCCACGACTCTTGCACCTCGCAGAATTCGAACCCGGGACCTTCGGTATTGTGCGCGAACGCCTAACAATCGGACCACTGGTCCGGCATCCAACGGTGGTAATGTCTAACTCTGATTGATCTACGGATTTTTGCGCGACCTGACCCATTTGTCTTTGGTAGTTACTGCCTACACCCGACAGGGTTGAACTCCATTGGTCACGTCTTCTCAACTAGAACTCCGAGAATTTCCTCACGAAACTAGCTAGTCACTAGTGAGCACTGTTACGATATTTTGGGGCAGAGTTTTGAAGGTTTGCGTTTTTACACATTCGAAATCATCAATCAATCATTGTTACTAGACCACCATTAGAAACCTGGAAGCACTGGACGGCCGTTTCGTCCTGGTATGGGACTCCTCAGCAGTGCGCATCCACGACTCCTGCTCCTCGCAGGATTCGAACCCAGGAACTTTGGTATTGTGCGCGAACGCCTAACCATCGGACCACTGGACCAGCATCCAACGGTATTAATGTCTAACTCTGATTGATCAAGGGATCTAGGGAAACGGCCGTCCAGTGCTTCCAGGTTTCTAATGGTGGTATAACAATGATTGATTGATGATTTCAAATGTGTAAAAACGCAAACCTGCAAAACTGTGCCCCAAAATAACAACTTATCTCTCTCTCTACTTCAGTATAATGCATAAAAAACCATTTATTCCTCATTATAAAGATGTAAAACGTTTTTTCTTTGCAAATTTGCTTAAACTAGTCATTGTGTTTGTTGAATAACTAAATTATTGAATAAATAAATGACCTAACAATATTCTAAGTCCTTATAAATCAGCTGATCAGTATTCCGATGGATCTTGGTTATAAATATATATATATATATATATATATATATATATATATATATATATATATATATATATGGTGG